GAAGGGAAGGTACAGAGGCAGTGCCAGAAGACAGTGAAAAACAGACTTTGTAGGTTAAGAGCAACAGGTGCATGTTTTCTAAGGGATAGGCCTCCCAGGACTCTCCAAATGGAGGTCTGATGCTGCTGCCCTGCTGTGCACACCACGAAACTTCTTTTGTATCTAAGGCTGACAACTGGGATTTCTCTGCCATTCAACAAGCAGTTTAGGGTTACAGAGATTTTCCTGAATCCTGCTAGGCTCATCAACATTGGGCTCTAAATGGCCTGTCTCTCCCCCAGGGATCAGCACAATTCCTACAGGAAGGTTTGGTAGAAGTGGGCATCTCCTTCTTTCTCCCAGAAGACTAGCAAGAGTTTGCAATACATACAGCAATTCAACAACTAGCAAGAATCTCTATAAACTATGGTTTAGGAAGGTGGTTCTCAAACTATGACCATGAGTTGTACTTCAAAGGATTTCTTGTGGTATTTAAGTTGATGACCTGGCAATTTCTGTTCTTTTATTTCCGGCATGAGTTCATTTATTTCTGATATCCATCACTTGTGTCTCATCGAAAGTGCGTCAGAGTTCTTTCCAGTTTACTGAGGACTTGGGGTTGTACTTGTTGGGGTTTTTGGTTTTGTTTTGGCTGTGGTATACAGGTAGCACAAATGATCAGTGGAAGGTTCTGCCCTCAGTGAAATGGTCCATAGACCAAAAAACATTGAGTACCACTAGTTGGAAGGCTCTATTTATTATTATAGCTCCTTGTTCTCCCAATTCAGATGGAAAGGGAATGAGGAAGAACTGAGTGAAGAAAATAGTTCTTCGGGAACTACTGAAACATCATAACACACATTTGTTGTCTATAGCTGGTTAGTTCAGGGTGATAATGAAGTCAAGGTCATAGGTTCAATCCCCCTGTGGGCCAATTAACCTTGCTCTAATCCATATTTCCACTTTCAGAGACTGCACTCCTAACCCCAGCCAGCAAATGTCTACATTGGGCACAGGAAAGAACTAGGTGAAAGAGTATAGATGGATTAGCCAAATACATCACCATTACTAGAAAAACAATTCAAAGTGCAAGTCCTACTGATAGTGAGTCAGTAACAACAGCTACCTAACTAGTTGACATATGGTCATTCAATATTTACTGAGTACCCACTGTATACCTTTAGGTGCTTAAGGTGAGGATGCCCTAACCTTCCAAAGAGGTGAGAATGTCTCAGAAAAGTAAAAAGCATTCACAGAACAAAGATCTAAAAGAAAATCTGAGTAACATCCACTACAGCACACAAAGCAGATGTGGATAGAAATAACGCTCTATTCCTTAGCCTTCATATGCAAGCACATTATGGGAAAAAATAGCACACTATTCCTGATTCATCCTGTGAGCAAAAATGCAGCTGGCAAGACAGAGATGTATTGATGGGAAATCAAAGTGGATATGAAGGAAACCTTTTCCAAACACCTGATTCTGTATGTATCAGAGCACAGTTAGGAGTATAAATATATAATTAGACTCCCCCCCCCCCAAGACCTTCCTTTACCCCATCCAGTTGATGGAAACCCTAACAGTTCGAAATGGAAGCCTAGTTTCTCCTCTTTGTTCATTAAATCATCCTCTTCCACTTGACATTCCTATTTGGCCTCACCTATCAACCACTCTGGTTGATAACTCCACTGGTCAAAATTGGGGAAGGCGGGAGGGGAAGGATGACAGGAGAGTACACCCTCTTACACCTTCTTCTATCTCAATCTACCAGACTGTGCCTTCAGGTATTATATCTCAATGTCAGATATTTTTTTCAAACCAAGAATTCTTTACTTGTATGAAAGTCAATAGGCAAGTTATAAAAAAAAATAGTTGTGATGCTGCTTCAAGTTATAATGTGCACTGTTACTACAAGTCATGAAAGTACCTACAGAACGTTCAATTTCCAGGAACTAGATAGAAAGCAGCATTCCACATCTTTGTAAAGGCTACATCCCACCCCCATGGTCACACTGGTTTGATCATGGTCAAGGTCACACCTCATCTAGCACTTAGTAAGTTAACTTCAAGAGCTGCTCTGCCTCAAAACTTATTACTCTATTTATTCCTAACTGTAGGATAGAAATTCTTCATAGAGCAAAACAGACATCTTGATCCTTCCCTGAGCCAGCATGATATATAGTAAATACAGTGGAGGACTAGGAGTTAGGAAAACCCAGGTCATAAGACAGCCTTAGACATTCTTTACTTAGTATTTGAGCCTGGGCAAGTCACTTAACCTCTCTGAGCCTCAGTTTCCTAATCTGGAAAATGAAAATAACAGAACCTACTTCATAGGACTGTTGCTATCAAATGAAATATTATAAAGCACTACAAAAATCTTACACGCTCTATAAAGGTGTGTGATGATCATTTCTTAAATTAAATGCAAAGCTATAGCCTTATTTAGTTGACGACCCCAAAGTGATTAAAGACATTCAGTTAAGAGTATTGTCACACTTCCTATCAGTAAATGTTATTAGCATTTCCAAGTAGAAATAGGAAACTAAATCTAAACAAAATTATTTCTGTGGAGCTTTTCTGCTCTACCTATAAGGTTGTACTCTCTAACTATATTTTAAGTGTTTTCCATTCAGTGGCTTCAAGAATGGTCACAGCTTTACTAACATTATCCATTAATATTCCTAACAATCACTAGAAGGGAATAGCTGGGGGGAAAAAATCCAAAAACTGTCCTTTATTGATAAGATACAAAGATGTGACCTGCCCAGTCCTGTAGTGAGCCAGTTAGAAACTAGATTGGAACTATGGTTATTTATGTTCCGTGCTTTAAGTATGAGACTTACAGGGACACAAATCACAGACAGGATGGGTGACAATAACCCTGATAGCTGAGCTGCAGGGAACAGATTATGGAATGGTGACTTAGTATAATCATTACTACCCACAAAAACAGAATTTCCTGAGAACCTACTTTGTGCTCAGTACAGAGGCAAACTGGGAGGGGACAGTTAATCAAGGTAGGACTTCCTTATGTATGTAAAACAACTTCAGAAGAATACAAGACAGATAACAGGGTACTAAGTAATATCCTGCAGGTACCTATATAAGGAATTCAAAGTAGGGAATGACTCCTGCAAGGCTTCAAAGAAGAGGGAGAACTGGATCTAAACCTTTAAGGACAGAATTTGGCTGGGTAAAATGAAAAGGTGAGTGGGAAGGCATTCAAGGATGGAGGTAAAAAGGAGACAAAGGATGAAGGGAAAAATTAGCAGGGCCAGTGGGAGACAGCCAGGAGGTCCCAGCAGGATAAGAAAAGAAAGCTCAGAGGGTGGGCTGCACGTGCAATAACATGGTAGGTTCTAGAGCTTACCAACTATAGTGATAAAATTGGGATTTTAGAAAGAGAAATCTGGTGGTCCTGAACAAAATGGAATGGGGGAAGGGAACTGGAAGACTAGAGAGTAGGTATAAAAATAATCAGATGTAAATCTTCTTTGGGAGCTAACTAGAAGCAGGTTGGTGGCACAGTGGATAAGTAGGTCCTGGAGTCACCAAAACCTGAATTCAAATCCGGCCTCAGATGCTCTGCCTTGCCTCAGTTTCTTCATTTGTAAAATGGGAGTAACAATAACACCTACCTCCAAGAGTACCAAATGAAAAAATACTTATACAATGCCTAGCACATAGTGATGGGGTGTAGCCCAAGGGGAGGTCTTCCCTGCTTGCCCCAAAGGGAATCTGATTCCTATTTGTCTGCAGGCCCCAGCCCCTTATCTCCCTTTGAGAGCCCTAGCCGCACCTTTTTGATCTCATCATCTATTCCCATTGTCTATTCAATCTCTCAGACCTTCCAATCAGAATTCTCACCCACACCTTTTCCCAGACCCTGGTCTGGGCACCCAAAGTCACTTTAGTATATAAGATCTACCCAGGCCCTCAATCGGGGCTGAGAATCTATGCCCAAAAGGTTGAGACTTTCTCATGCCCGCCCGTCCTTACCGGCGTCACCTGGCTCATGTGTTCTATCACTAATGAACTTTTCCTCTAGCTGAAGATTTAAGTTGAATTCTTTCAAGCAGGGTCCGGTACTGCGATCTTGAGGTTCCTGCAGCACCCCAAAACCTCTAGATCTCTTCAGTACTAGGCACTTAATAAATAGTTGTCCTCTCCCCGCTCTCCTTCCCTAATCATTGCCATCTGGGTGGCACGGAGGTCACACTACAGGAGTCAAACTTCGATTCTAGCCCCAAGTACTGCCAATTGTCACTTCCTTGCTCTGGGCCTCAGTTTCCCAAACTGTAAAATAAAGGCGAGGGGTGGGGGTAGGGACGAAGATGGGGAGGTCGTTCTAGCCCCAACGCTCTTTGGCCCCTCGAGAACGGAAGGATCACCCTACGGCTGCTGCTCATGGGAACGCAGCGGGAGGGAAACGCAGCCGGGATGGGGGAGGGGGGATCGGCGGAGGAGGTAGGAGAAGGCAGCGCAGATGTGATGGAAGGCGGGAGGCGGGGCGGGGAGTGCGCGGAAGGAGGAGGATGGGTGGGGTCAGGGGGAGGGGCTGCCCGTCCCCAAGGCACGAGGCCCCCAGACACAGAGAAGACAACCCAAGCCGGAATGTCCCTTCAGGGGCGCCGTCCGGATGGACAAAGGCGGCACTCAGCCGGGTAGGCCGCCGGGTGGGAGGGAGAAGGGAAGGGGCACGGCGCCTCCGTAACGCGACACCCTAGGGGGGTGGAGAGAGGAGCGGCGGGCGCCGCCCTCTTCCCTTCCTCCTTCCCGCCCTCTCCCGTAACCTCCGCCCGGGGCCTCCCCCCCCACGGCATCACGTGAGGCGGAAAGGGCTCCTCAGCCTCTGTGGAAGGGCGTTGGGAAGCCTGGTCCCCGGCCTCAGGGGGAAAACAGAGCCTCGGCCACTGGCGGGAAGGGACGGGACGCGACGAGACGGAACAGAGGGAGGAAAGTCCCCCTCCCCCGAGGGGGGGTGAGAAAGTGGGGTAGAGGGGGGCAGGGCATTTACCCGGTGGCGCCAGCCATCTTCGCCGCTTCCGTAGGCTTCTCCGCCGGCGCGCGCTTCCGCTAGCGCCGCTGTCGCGCGCGCCGGACTCAGGCCCCGGCCCTGTCCCCGCCCCCTCAGCTCCGCAAGGCCTGCTGGGAATTGTAGTCCTTGCTGAGAAGGCAGCGGAAAAGCGGTCTCTGACTACGGGAAGGCCAGAAACTCACCCTGAAATCCCATCTTTTGCAAGGAGCCCCAAAGCTGGTGCCCTCTCTTTGCTGTTTATCTCTCATTTGTGCTCTGCATGTCTTGTTTGTACGTAGTCTTTTGCATGTTGTCTCCCCCCATTTGAGGTCCTTGAGAACAGGGACTATGTTGTGCTTTTCTTTGTATTGCCTGCGCTTAGCGAGGAGCTAGGCACATAATAGGCACTTAATAAATGTTTCTTGATTGACTCTAACTCTGGAGCAAGCCCTAACTGGGTTGTGAGAGCCCATGTTCTGTGTGGTCATTTACACACCAATAATCCCCAAACGCTTCCAATCCACGCTTGATTTATGGTTGCGTTAATTAACTAAAGAAATTGTTAATAATGCAGGTTACACTTAAAAGTGCAAGTGCATACGTCCCCTCCCCCATTCCATCCCCAGTCGGGCTATTTACCAGCACGACCCTGTATTGCTCTGTAAACAGTACTATAAGCAGAAACTCCAGGAACGAAGTCATCCTGGGACTGGGGGCTTAATAAAGAGTAATAAGTGGCATTTATATAAGGCATTATGATTCACAAAATGCTTTACATCTATTACCTCAGCTGAGACAGAGATGGAGCCAGAAGGAGAGATAGAGGAGAGCCCTGGGATGGAGTCCTGGGATAGCTATGTCTTTTTTTTTTTATTTTATTAATTTATTTTGATTTATCAACAATCACTTCCATATGCTTTTGAATTGAAAATTTTTCTCCCCCTTCTTCCCCCCCACCCTCCCCAAGACCACGCACAATCTGATATAGGCTCTACATTTACATTCCTATTAAACATATTTTCACATTAGTGAAGTTGTAAGTAAAAACTGAAACCAATAGGAGGAACCATCAGAAAGATGAAACAAAACTCAACAGAAGGTAAAAATAAGTGATAGCGATTTGACTTCCATAGTTCTTTCTTTGGATGTGGACAGCATTTTCCATCCCAAGGCCTCTGGAGATGTCTTAGATCCTCGTAATGCTGAGAAGGGTTCAGTTTAAAAATATTAGTCATCGCATAATGTGGCTGTTATTGTATACAAAGTCTTCTTGGTTCTGCTCACTTCACTCAGCATCAGACCATATATGTCTTATTATGTTTTTTCTGAAGTCAGCCTGTTCATCATTTCTTATAGGATAGCTATGTCTTATTACCAAAACTAAAAGTGGGCAGTTCTTGAGCACCCCTCTTCAGGGGAACAAGCCTCTTCTAGACCCCCACACAATCTCAGAGTAATAGTCCAACCCTTAATTGAATGGGGACCTTGACCACAGCTTCCACCTCAGATACTTTCTGTCTGGGTGATGCTGAGCAAGTCATTTAACCTATCTACCTCAGTTTCCTCACCTGTAAAACAGGGGTATTAATAGCACCAACTTCCCAGGGTGGTTGTGAGGGTCAAATGAGGTAACATTTGTAAAGCTCTTTGCAAGCCTTAAAGAGCTGGGCTTTATGTCATATGGCATGAGCTCCAGTCCTTTCACCATCCTGGTTGCCTTCCTCTCCATTCCTTCCTGCAGGCTGAGACCTAGTCTGCAGTCCAGCCTCTTATGCTTACTACCGGCGAGACCTTGGGCCAGTCTCAACCTTCCTGGTTCTCAGATTCCTCATCTTAAAACGGACTAGAGGGGCTCCTGAGATCTTTCCCAGTGCTGTTAGTCTCCTGCTTTGAGCATACCCTGCATGGTTATTCTGAAGGGACTTGATAAGTCAGCTGTACCAGAGATCAGAACCCCAGGATTTTCTGAAATCTAGGCTACTAAGAATGTGGGTCCCAGGAAGGAAGTCAGATCCTTCTATACAGTACTATAGCTGCCTCCTTAGAAGTTCCAGAGTGTGGCATCCAGTATTTCCACAGTCCTGTGTACAAAGTACCATGTCATCATCCTTGTCTTGTTCATCATATTGTGTGAGATGCCTAGTGGATAGCTTGGTATCATTAATAATGGGGATTCATGTGGTAATTTGAGGTCCAGCTAGAAGAAATTATTTGTCTAGAGTCATTTAAGTGAATCTGGAGATAACTCTGTGTCGAGACTAGACCCCAAGTCCTCAGAGTCTCAGCCAGCTATTTAGACATGGAGCCACATTGTCTCTTCCAAATCAGTCTGTCAATAAAAAACAGCTAAATTCAAAATGGTGACACTGCTTCCTTGAGTTTCTCAGCTGTCTCAATTGCTATTGTTAGAGTAGGTTACTCTTATGCAGTGTCCAAAATGTACTTGGTGCCTTACGAAGTACCGTAGGGGGCCATGAAACCCAAAGCACACTGAATAAAAAAAGAAGCAGTAAATAAGGAATGACTGGCTCATTGCAGCTCTTAGCTGTTGGATAAAAAATAAGATGTGTACTCTGCATTGTTACTGAAGCAGCCCTGCAAAAAAAACCAAAAAATGCTCCCCTATTTTTTTCCCCCTTTTTGCTTTCCAGAAGTCTCTGAGAGAGATGATGGGTGGGTGGAATTCTGGGGCAGTAGGCTTCAGTGGCCTAGGATTGGAGGGTGTGTCATCAATTATACCCTTATACCTTGAGGGGGGATGTGGGAAAAGTGATGCAGAAGAGTCAGGTCAAGTGAACAAGCCAGGCTTTGTGGATAATAGAGAAAGGCAAAAACCAGTCCCTGTTTTTAAGAAGTTCTTAAGAAGGTCTAATGAAGAAGTAACTCTACATCCAAAACACTTGTCCCTTAAAAAGAAAAGAGGTAAAATATAAAAATTTTAAAAATATAAATATTGTTGCCACTATTCTGCATAAAGGCAGCTAGGTGGCACAGGGATAGAATGCCATGCCTGGAGTCAGGAAGACTTCTCTTCCTGAGTTCAAATCTGGCCTCAGACACTTACTAGCTGTGTGACCTTGGGCAGTCACTTAACTCTATTTGCCTCAGTTTCTTCATCTGTAAAATGAGCTGGAGAAGGAAATAGCAAACTACTCCGGTATCTTTGCCAAGAAAACCCCAAAAGGGATCACAAAGAGTTAGATAGGACTAAACAAAACATTCTGTATTAAGCTTCTCAGGCGGAGAGAAAAGATAAAATTATAAAACTATTAAAAATCACCTACTATCCATCAAACTTCAGTATCAGTGAAACAAATGACTAGTTTAAAGTCTGACCGGATAATACATAAGCATCCTCTTTTTCTCCCCCTCTGTCATTGCTTGATGGACATTCCTGGCTTCACTGCTCCATGTTTCTCCCATGTTCTTTTACCAGAACTACCAATCCAATCTCATTTTAATTCAACAAACACTAAGCCCTTACTATGCTCAAGTACTGAATGAGGTATCGGGGATAGAAAGATGGATACAACACAAACCCAGCTTTCAAGGTGTTTACAATCCAATAGAAAGAAATGTACATAGACACTAGCAGTTATGATACAAGTATGGCAAGTATAGAGGTCCTGGGAAAGTATTATGAGAAATTTTAAGTGAGAGAGATAGAGACAGAGAGCGGGGGGCGGGGGGGGGGGACAAAGGAGAGAGAGAGAGAGCGCAACACTTTCATCAGGAGTATCAGTGGTTAGGGGCAGCTAGGTGGCTCAGTGGATAGAGCATTGGCCCTGGAGTCAGGAGGACCTGAGTTCAAGTCCGGCCTCAGATATATAGTGCTCACTAGCTGTGTGACTCTGGGCAAGTCACTTAACCCCAATTGCCTCAGCAAAAAACAAACCAAAAAAAAAAAAGTATCAGTGGTAATATGGAGGAGGTGGTACATTAAGATAGCATTGAGCCTTGAAGGGAGGGCTTCAGAAGATGGAGGTGGTAAAAGGGCAGTTTGGAAATTCAGGTTCAATGCCACAATTTTAGCCTAGTAAGAAGGAAACTCTATCATGCTTTCCAGCCCTAGATCATTTTAACTGAGCCTATGTTTGGCTTTCATCACTCATTAAGTGAAACAGCATTAAGGCACCTTGACTTCCACACATAGTTCCCTGCTCCCCAGGAGCCCAGCTTACACTGGGGGAGTGGGGTGTGTTGGTTTCTTATTGAGTCAGACAGACTCTGGAGAGGAAATCTGGTATTTAGATCTGTGCTCATTAGTCTCAAAGTGACTGCTGTTCTGCCCCCTGCCCTCAACACCCCACTGTTGACAAGAAGCACTAACCGCAGGTGATTTAGGGCAGAGCAGCTGATGAGCACATTTGCCCACACCATGAACCCCAGGATGGCCTCAGGTACTCAACACTGGCCCAGGTCCCTGGATCTGGCCTTATTTTATTTTCATCCAGTACTGTGCTCTATATTTTCTGTGATCATGTCAGATTCCAAGAAAAGGGGTTTTTTTGGTTTGTTTTGTTTTGTTTTTGGAAGGAGAGGTGTAGGAAGAAGAAGATGCTGGGAATTGGGGGGGAACCCTATCCTCAGAACTAAAAATGCACTTTAAAAAAAAAGAGTGAATGGTGGGGCAGGTAGGTGGTACAGTGGATAGAGCACCCGCCCAGGAGTCAGAAGGAGTCAGAGTTCAAATCCAGCCTCAGACACTTACTAGCTATGTGACACTGGGCAAGTCAAGAGCCAATGTTATGCGGACAGACATGTGACCAAGATAGTTTTGGGTCTGAAGCCAGAGGACCTGGATTCAAATATTCAAATTATACTTCTGTTAGTACTTAGCACTCCTCACTCTGGGTAGGTCATCCAAAGTCTCTGGGCTTCAGGTTTGTCATCTGTAAAGTGAGGGGTGGGGAGGTTTTGAACCCAATGGTCTTTGAGGTCTCTCCCTGCTCTAAATCTGAAGTCCTCTATAGATCTGATCCAGTGACAGTCATGACATCCCTTACTGCATTTTGTTGCCAGTGGAGGTTAGGGTGGAGGGCCCCATGTGGGACTCTTACCTCATCTACAGATTGCCACTCCAGGATTGCACCTGGGGAAACAGCCTCCTTCTCTTTCTCTCTCCTTCTAGGTTATGCCCCTACCTGCAGACTCCCTGACTCAAGTTAAGACTATAGTTGGTGGTGTTTTGTTTTAAAAGAGGGAAACAATTCCCTATTTACTTGCAGGGAAGACTTCAAGAGGAAATTAGGTCTAACTGTAAACTCCTAGGTCCCTCTGCTGGAGGAAAACCTCAGGAGTACCAAAGAATATCATGAATTAATGTTAATGGGAGGTTTTATGGGTACAGAGCATTTTGCCTACATTACTTCATTTGATCCTTACCACAACCTTGTGAAATACTTGTTTTTCCCAT